CGGGAATGGGGCGAACGCGGGCATCTCCTCGTCCTGTGGCTCCCCAGGCAGTAGCTGCGAAGTCTCCCCTGCCAGGTAGTGGCTGGGCATGAAAGGCCTGGGGAGCACAGAATGAGAAGGGAGAGGGCTGATGTAGGTCATGGGGTACCGCCCTGCCCCTGGGGTGCTCATTAGGCCCAGGACAGAGGGGGGAGTGCTTGGCTTGAGAGGGCTGGAGTGGGTTTCCTTGTAGGGAGCACCAATAGTACACTGGGAGAACTGGTCAGCTGGCAAGGTCCTTCTAGGTCTGCCTGCCCTGAGGGGGGTGCAGGGGATGCCCCTTTCTGGCCATGGACTAGCTCTTACAAGGGATTCCTGAAGGCAGGAAGGTCAGAGCCGTGGGGCAGCGCAGGATCTGTGACCAGGGACACTGAGACCATCTGTGGTGGGCTGCAGGGAGGAGAAGCAGGAGCACAGAGGTGGGGGAAATCCTCCCCGGCTGCGCCTAGGGGCAGTGGGAGGCCCACCCTTTCCTCTCCCCCTGAACCAGCACCACTCCTACCTGGAAAAGGAGGATCCAAGGTTGTCAGAGACCACCATGTTGACATTACTCTCACCTGTGGGGTAGCTTGTGGGGATGGGCTGGGGGCCAAAGGGAGCAGGGGGGCTGCAAGCAAGGACAAAGAGGTTAGCACCCAGAGGGGGTTCTCTGCCACAGTCCCCTCCACCCTGGAGAACTGCCTCTTCCCAGGGCAGGGTCAGACACTCACCAGATGGGGCTCAGCACCGACTGCATGTTCTCGAGGTGCAGCTCAGGCTGCAGCATGGGCTGGCCAAAGGGGTGAGCCTGGGAGGGTCCCCCCGCAGCACTTAGAGACTGCTGGTCCCTGCAAAAGGGCATTGTCCTCATCAACATGGGCAGGACTCACAGCACAAGGTCCAGCCTCTCATGAGGCTCATGTCCAGGTTGGTGCTCACCCGCAGGTACCACTGTGCGTGGGACGTCCACAAGGGATTCCTGGTGAGCACCCATATCCCCACCTTGCCCAGTCAGAAATCCCCCCTCCCTGCAGCAATGCTCAGGCCGGCCTGGTGTGGCTCAGCCCTCTGCAGCACCCGTGCACACACCCCTGGCACCATGGCATCGCACACGCACACACACACACACCTTTCGCTTTCCACTGTCATCTTGATGGCGGTGGAGACGTAGCCCCGGACATCCTTGCCCGTCTGCTCTTCTGCTTGGGGAGGAGAAGCATCAGTGAACCACCACCCTAGCACAGGGCCAATGCTCTTTGCCAGCACTGCCCCCCCTGCAAGCTCCAGGGCCAGCAAGACCATGGGTGAGACCCCCAACCCTCTCCTCCCTCTCTACTCCTCCTCACAGCATTGCTGGGGAGGCAGATGTGAAGCCTGATGTGAAACCCAGGGCTCTCCTCTCCTCCCACCCACTCACTGTTGTAGTGACTTCCGAATGCCTGGTCCTTGGGGATGTTGGGGTAGAGGTTGCGGAGCTGCCCCAGGTCCCTGATGCGGTCACCAAGGGAGCGGATGGACAGGTCCTTGGCAGAGAAGGGCTGGATATTCTCCACCTGGCTGGAGCCTGAGGGGAGACATGGCACTGGGCTCCATTGCCTCATCACCAGAACACCCAACAGCCCCAGGCCACAATGACACTTCCCCTTCGCAGCACTGAGAGCAGCCCCTGTCCCTCATCTCACCATCCTTGGCCCGGATGACATGAGCAATAGTGACACCCCCAATCTCCGAGTCACTGAAGCGGAGCAGGAAGGTCCCATCAGGCTCTGTGCTCAGAAGCTTGCAGACATACTGCTTGCTGATGAAGCCGATGATGAGCCTAGAGGAATAAAGAGAGAGAGTAGAGTGGGAGAGCACCAGGGTGGAACGGTGGGACCAGGACCCCTCAGACTCACTTGGCCCCTGGGCACTCACCTGTCTGACCAGTAACTTTTGAGACATCTCTTGGTGAGGTCAAGGACTCCATCAAACCACTGCCAGAAGGTGAATCCCCGACCAGGCAGGATCTCCTGAGGCAGAGAGAGGGTGTGAGGCTCCCCAGAGCCATGCTGGCTCCTATCCACCCCGGCCAGACCTCCCAGTTACCTTGTTGAACTGAGCCCAGGAGACCCTGCGGCTCTGGAAGTCCTCAAATCTGGCACTGTAATCATTAAAGATCTTCTGGGCCAGGAAGAAGTTGTGCTCCTTGAGAAGACCCTTGGTGGTCTGCACCTCTGCCATGAACTTCTGGTTCAGTGTATCACACATCTTCTCCCAGGGCACCTGCTCTGCCACCACGAAGGGCACGCGGTCCTGCAGCAGGACAGAATGGCATCTGGATGGCAGCTCATCCCTTGACCTGGCCCACCTGCTGGCTGCATTCCCCCTCCAGCCTGGCCATTCCCACCCCAGACCCAGCTTCAGCCTTCTGGCAGCTCCTCTCCTTGCCCTGCAGCCCTTCCCTCTGGCTCGTGGCACTCACAGTCTCGGAGAAGGCATTATCCCACAGCACGGTGGCTTTGGCATTGTTGTCCTGGTTCCCGTGGACAATGACCACGATGGGCAAAGACAGGACCTGGGGGCAAGAAGCAGCTCCCTCTTCAGCTGTGATGCAGCCCCCCCAGCACAGGGCTCTGCACGGAGCTGTTTGGGGCTGAGAGGGGGTGTGCCGGGGGGTGTCCCCCATTCCGGGAGAGGGGCTGGTACCTGGAGATGAACGGAGAGGTTGCCGGGGGTCAGAGCCACTGTGGTGCTGAACAAGACAGCGCACTTCTCCTCCGTCACCGACTCGGACCCCTTCCGCTCGCAGCGCTTGATCTTCTTCAGCAGCTGGGGAGGGGAGGGCTGAGTGGTACCCACAGGCAAAGCACCGGCCTTGGGGCTCCCAGCCCACCCTCCCAGATCGTTTTGTGTCAGGGCCTCCCAATGGAGTCCCCAGCCCACCCCACAGGCAGATGGGCCCTTGCTGGTGGCACTCACCACATTCTTGAAGTTGGCACAGCAGGTCCCGCTGGTGGGGTTGGTCTCCAGGGCCACCACATTATGCATAATCTCCCCTGTGCTCTCGCTGGGTGGAGGAGGGGTCAGGGGGCTCAGAGGCATGGCAGCCCCCTGCCCCAGCACCATCCGTCCCTCTGCTCACCTGAGGGTGTTGCTGTAGGCACTGAGTGCCAGTTCCCGTGCCTGCTTCTCCGTCACCATGTCCGCCCGCACCGTGTAGGGCTTGGCTGAGGCCTTCAGCAGCTGGGGGCCCAGCAGGAACCGGATGCTTGCCTGGAACTTTGTCTGGGTCTTCAGCACCTGTGGGGGCTGCTTCTCCACCAGGAAGGAGCTAGAGGATGAGGAGAGACAGTGGAGTCCTGCACAACACCCGCCCAGCTCTGCTACTAATGCCTGCAGGCCCACTGGCCCCTCCACCATCACAGCCCCCAGCCTGATACCTCTTGACCAGGCTGGATAACACCTCGTTGAGCCGCTCCAGGAGCAGCTGCAGCAGCTCAGCTCCCAGCTCTGCACTTGCAGCCATCACCTGCTGGTGCAGCTGGAAGTAAACCTCCACCAGGCTCTCACATCTGCCAAGGGAACCGTGGGAAAATGAGCATCCTCAGCCAGAGCGGAACTGGACCAGAATCCCCAGAGCCCTGCGGGGAGCATAGAGAGCAGGAGGGTTGCCCTGAGTCCCCCATCTCTGCCCCGTGCCACCTCACCTTTTCTGCAGTGGAGCCAGGTTCTCCTCAAAGACGACCCCGTTCCCTGCCAGCTGCTGCTGCCTCTTCCAGATTTGGATCCTCTTCAGTACCTGCTGCTTGGCTGTCTCCAGCTCTTTCACAGCCTCCAGGATCAGGGTGGACAACTCCTATGGGGCAGCACCAGCCATGGGGCTCCACATTGCACTGTTTGCTGGCAGAGACATGCAGCCTCACACCAGGGTACCAAAACCCCAGGCCCTGCCCCAGAGCTGGTTTGCCCCCCTGGCCTCCCCAGCAGACAGTTGCCAGCATTCCCCAGCGCCCCAGACCCCCCACTCACGCTCTCCAGGGGTTTCTTCTCTGCTGTCATCTGTAGGTCCTCTGGGTTCAGTGACAAAGTGGCTGCAGAGGAAGGACAAGGGTGGCCTCATTAGCACTGGGAGCCACCTGGAGATCATGCCACCCTGCTGCACCCCTCAGCAGACCCACAGACCCCAGCCCCTCACCGGTGGGGCCGTCCCGCAGCGCCTGGATCTCATGGATGCGGGGGTGGAGCCGCCGCCGGCCCAGGCA